GACTGGGTATGTGTGTGTTTCCTTGTGCAGGTTTATGTAATTCTGCCGACAGCTGGATGATTGTTCCCAATATTAAACAAAACCACTACACCGTGCACGGCCTGCAGAGTGGGACAAAGTACATCTTCATCGTCAAAGCTATCAACCAGGCCGGCAGCCGGAGCAGCGAGCCAGGGAAACTGAAGACTAACAGTAAGTGAGGAGCGTGGAGTGTGTGGAGTTCCTGCAGCCATCGGACAGCAGTGAGCTGTCACCCTCCTTTGCTTATGATGCAGTTATCTAACCACAGGGCTGTTAACCACATGCTGGGATCGAAGGGTCAGTTTTAATTACAGAAAGCTCATCCATCAGAGCTCCAGAAGAACAATGGTGAACGTGTCATGTAATGTTAGAAAAGCCTCAAAGCCTGCCAACTGCTGTATGCTATTCCATACAGATATCAGAGGAGAAAATACTGTGACTATAGAACATTGGAAAACCAAGAAAAAGGAAAACCAGACCATTCATCTCATTTAAACTGTTTTGGTTTCTTAGTAGCTAATTGATTTAAGGGATCTTATCCAGCCATTTCTTCTTAAAAGGAACCAGTATCAGCTTCAACAATGTGTCTAGATGGTCTGTTCCTGTAATAGCCCTTCCTATTCTCAGTCTTAAATGCAGTTAAGCATAATTCCCCACTTACTGTATGTCTACTAGTCCATGGATTCTGAAGAAACCCATTGGGTTGAGTTTGGCAGTATCTTTATCAGAATACTTTGATCAGGTCCCCTCATAGTCCTTTCTGTTTAATACTGCAAAAGTGTCGTTCAGTGTAGGACATTCCTTTAAGCCCTGGAATGTATCTGGTTCCTTTCGTCTGGCCTGATTCCAGAGCAACAATATCTTTCTTACCGCAATTGTGCTTGCTTTTCTAAATGAGGTCTTAAGAAGTGCAGTCTACAAAAACATGTGCATTACATTGAATACCTCTGCCTGCAATTTGAGAATTTTCTTTTATGAGGAACGGTATGAATTTTCTTTTATGAGGAAAGTATTGATTAACCTGATACATAAAGTATTGGATTTAATTGTAGTTTCTGATTGGATGCAATCTAAAGAAATGTCCGTAACCACCTCGTAGATAATATAAAAAAGGACAGTGACCTCATTTGTTCCAAGTAAATATTTATTTAACTATTTTATGTCATATCTATTTTTCATTCGTTTTTTAACTTTTCTTTTTCTAAAAAATAGGCTATTGTGACCATTATTCTCTTTAAAAATGCATATATTGCTTTCCAATCACTGTTTTATTTTGAATTCTTTCAGGGTGCTTGAGTTAATGTTTTTCTCTTCCTTCCATGCCATATTAGGAGTGATAAAGCTTATATTTGATTCCAATTAAAACTCAAAGAACTCTATATTTTAAACATAATATGTTAAAATATGATGTAAGATTGATAAAGATTTTTAATATATTTAGAATGACTTACATAAAAAATAAAGAAGGAAAAGTGAAATTACAGTATCTAACAATTCCTGGAGAAACAAGGTACGCAATTGTTTTTTTTACGCTTTGTTACAGGCAGCACAGAACTAGATAACACAGTATACATTTATTTTCAGGTCAGCCTTTCAAGTTGGACCCAAAATCTGCCCACCGGAAGCTGAAGGTTTCCCATGACAACCTTACAGTCGAACGTGACGAAACCTCTTCGAAAAAGAGCCACACGCAAGAGAGGTTCACCAGCCAGGGGAGCTATGGTGTGACAGGAAACGTGTACATTGACAGTGGGCGGCACTACTGGGAAGCCCTTATTGGCGGAAGTACATGGTATGGCTCGGCTCTGCTTTAATGACCCCTCACTATTATTGACGTGTAGTGCCTGTGGCCTAACGTACAGCTGGAGCAGGCGGTCACTTATATATGACACTCATCCACAGGCTGTGCAAGTGTGGTAGAAACTGTGAGCTTTGAGGTTTTCATGATATTTTATCATGACCCTTTTAACCATTGAAAATGTTTCTGTTTAGAAGAAGTACTTTAACTGGTGTAAGTGAATTTTCAGAAAACATTTATTTATAAACCGAGACATATGCTTTGATTATTTCTGGATTTGAATGGAAATCCAATTTAAAAGGTAGAACATAATTTAAATGCGTTTTTCATGAAGTACATTTCATTCATCATTTACAGTATAATGCCTCATTTAATTGAGTCCATTCTGTTGACTGCTGACCTTAAATAGTTCAAATGATGCAGAGCTTTATGCTGTGTGAACTGTTAGCATTTTAAACCTTTTATTCCATCACGTAGGTTGCTAGGATAGCACCTGTGTTAGTTTGCATTAAATTTCAGATCTTGTAAAGCTCTGAACGAAAGCTTTACAAAAAGAAAGAAAGCCTTACAAAACTGTAGACTAAACTTTCACATTTATTCTTTCATATGTACTGAAAGTGAATTTAAAAATGAACTCAATCTGTAAAGCTGCTGATGAAATTAAACAAAATTCTTTAATGCAGTAAGTACATAACCATAGGGTGCAGTCTGCTTATTTGGTCCTAAAAGTCTTATTTAACTGGAGACTGACCACATCAAGAGCTGAACTGAATCAGCACACAGCAAGTAGAGTCTCCTCTTGCACTCAGCTGACTGTCTGGAAAAATCCCTTCATTCCAAGCTGGTACAAAGCAGTTTTGCCATGGCTTGCCAAATTGTAAAGGGATCTCTTAAACTTAGACTTGTAGCTATCCATCTGGATTTTTTTTTATGCACAATTAAGTGGGATAAAAAGGCGGTGATGATCTAAGGGTCCAAATGGCTACCGCCATATTCAATGTAAATAAGCCTGTAAAATTCCTGAGCGATGCCTTCATACTGGAGCAAGAAGGAGTTCTTTGTAGCCATTGGCAGCTTTAGGATTCAGAGCTTTAGTAACCTTCGGAGTAAAAACCAGCCTGAAAGTGTGCATTCAAGCAAAGCCTTCTCCTGTTCAGATCGGTATCGGATTTACAGGTGAAGATAAATACAGTAAATAAAAAGACAAACATAAGCCCTACAGTCTGTTCTTTATGTTTTATGAATTATTCTATTGTGGCACCCTTTGAAAAGGGCTATTAGAAACTAATAATTTGCCAATATCCAAAATATTTTGATCATGATTGTGATCATATTCAAAGCCACCAGCGCACTGTCAAGGGCAGATGGGCACAGAATCTACTCTCGGTGTGCAGGGGGGGGTGTGTGGTACCTGGGCAGGGAAGGAGCTGGGTGCTCCTGAACCCTGGACCCTGGCCAGTATCGGCACTGTACTGAAACCACCTGACCCAATATGCAAAACTATAGAGTATCATGAATACTGGTTAAAAATTATCAAGCTTGTTTTATTCACATCAAGTTAAACCCTCCTAAATCAGAGCGCATTTTACCCAGATCAATGGAAACCCTTACTGTTTGTTTTGCTTTTGGAAGGTATGCAGTGGGGATCGCCTACAAGTCTGCCCCAAAGCACGAGTGGATCGGGAAGAATTCGGCCTCTTGGGTTCTGTGCCGCTGTAACAACTCCTGGGTGGTGCGACACAACAGCAAGGAGCTGCCCATCGAGCCGTCCCCACACCTGCGCCGCGTCGGGGTGCTCCTGGACTACGATAACGGCTCCCTGGCCTTCTACGACGCCGTGAGCTCGCAGCACCTGTACACCTTTGACATTTCCTTTGCGCAACCCGTGTGCCCTGTGTTTAACGTGTGGAACAAGTGCTTAACTGTCTTAACCGGGCTGCCCATCCCAGATCACCTGGACTGCACGGAGCTGCAGCCATGATCGCCACGGAAACATGCCCCAAAGGAAACTCTGTGAAACTTCGTCGGGAGCAAATATGTCGGCTGTGGGGGGAGAGAGGAGTAGAAGAAGGAACACCTGTGACTGGAACTACCGTTTTTCCCACCATTTTCCACAGACCAGCCAGCACAAAGACTGAAATGTTCCCAGTGCTGTATAAAATGTACAAGCCATGGCTTTAAATCTTCTTTGTACTTATGCTCTGATAGTATAAATTATTTATGGAAAAAAAGACAATAATTCGATAAAAAAAAATGTTGTAGAATTTTCTTGCTTTGCACATTAATGTTTACTATTTTATTTATGCTTAGATGATTTATTTGGGAGATTTGTTTTTAATTGGTTGGATAACACTGCAGTCCTTTTATTAATTTTTAAAGAAGCTTATTTTGGACGGTCCTGGGTTTCTTTAATCGGGGTCCTTAACATTGATAAACATAACTGAAGTGTCGTCTTTCAGTCGATATTGTAAAGTTGTCTGTCCAGCATTTGTAATCAGCATGTTAAAGTAATAAATCCTGGGGAGTGTAGCCTCATGACAAGGTCTTCAAGCAGTAGGTATGAGTTACATAGTGAAAATGTGTACATTTGTGTGACTCATTGTTGTATTATCTTTAGTCCTGTTTAACTTTCCACAAAGGGAAATATGAGCTTATTTAAACCTCTTACGTTTTTTGTGTTTCACACAATCTAGGAGTGAATAGGAAATGATTACGCGATCGATAAAAAAGCAGGTTGCTGATGTAGCGGCAAAGAAGCTCAGGGCAAATTGAGTTTCAAAAGAGACATTTATTATTTTGAGTTACAACTTGCAAGCCTTTGAACAGGTCAATCAAGTCCATTAAACTTCGAAATGCATTTAAAATGTTTGGGTCTCTGTCAGCTCCTTCATTACATTGCAACAACAACAAACAAAAAAATATTGAGAAAGTTCTGGTCTAAAAGGCAGACTGGAGAACCTGAGAAGATGACTTAACACTTTGTGAACTAATGACAGAGATCAGGCCAAAATGGACTTTAACTTCAGTTTTATTGGATACAGGTTGAAACCTGCTTTTAGTTCAGTATTTTTTGTTGGTTTTAGTTCAAACACTTTTGTTTGGACTACATCCTTTGGAAGCCAACTCTTCCTCAAGCTTTAATTGTAAATCCTAGCTGCAGACCTGCTCTCACATATGGACTGACCACTCCTTTCAATCTCCAGTCAGCGTCAAACTCTTCTGAAAGAGTCTGCTTTCTGTGTGCTACACACCGATGCTTGTTTTTTTTTTATTTTGACTTCCAATTCAGATTTTCACTTGTCTTTTCCTTTTGTTTCTGTAAGTAAGATTTATTTTGCAATATTTTGTGCAAAGTTGGTTTTCAAATGAAATCAACAAATTAATAAATTGTTACCATGTGATATAAACATTATATGAGTGTGAAAAGATCTTAGGTGCTGAAAACCATTATTCTATTTTTTTTTCTTCTGTTGACATTCCGTTCTATTTGGATAGCTCTGCAGAACATCTTCAGCTGGATTTAAGGCAAAAAAGACCAGATTCTCAAGATATTTGCATCACATTGCAATTTTTGTGAACACAAAAATAAAATAAGTTGTCATAGTACTTTGTATCATTGATTTAATCACTCAAACAAGTCAGCATTTCCAGGGTCTGAAGTATTAAGTGGCTTGAAACTTTGCAAAAACTGATTTTGAAACTTATCCACCGTGTGCTGCATTCAAATGTCAGCAAAAATCCAATTATAATTGAGGGTTTTTTCCCCAGATTTTCTCTGATTTTTTTTTTTTATCTGTAATTTACAGTGTAAGGCCTCCTGTCTTAACATATTGATCTTCACAGGAATCTGGAAATGGAAATATTTTTCCATTTCTGGTTTATAGCATTTAGTGAATTGTTTATAAAAAAAAGTTTTGGAATGGTTTTGGAGAAATGGCACGTCTCTAACCGACACCTGGCAGGGTCACATTTCAAACGTTTGGCCAAATTCTAAATAACGTGACAGAGAGACTAAACATTAAAGTTTTTTTGGCAAAACCGGCCTAACTGAGGGAAAGGCAGGCTGCCCGTGAGAGTGAAGTTGACAGAACCCCAGGGAATGAGCCAGGGAGCTGCTGCAAGGTTGAAGATGGAGGGAGGGAGGGGTATGAGTAAGCAGTACAAAGCAGCCACTTGGCAGGTGATAAAGTAGATGCAGTGATTATCGATTCTGTAGCCTCAATATTCTTTTAGATATATTGCACAAAACTGTGGTGTGTCCACTAATGTTTCATTCCTCTCGATCATTTTCGGTTAGCCAGAGCAATCTCTAATCTCTAATCTCTATTATTCTATCGGATACGATTTGTATGTGGGTTTTTTTAGTTATTGACAGATGCACCAAATTCTGATCACCTGCATAGGAGCACCTGTCTTGAATGCACCATGTGACACAAACACCAAATATCTGAACTTTCTTGTCACGAGTTTATTCAGAAGATGAATTTACAGTATGTCTCCATTACAATTTACAGAATAAACTTAATTTCATTCTCTGTTCAGCATTTAAATATAAAATAACTCCTATATCTGACAACTGCTAATTGGTTGAACTTGACAGCCTTGCAATAGGTCAGGTATACAATCGTTATTATTTCAGAGAATCCACAAGTGCAAGTGTCTTTGTTTAGGTTTGAATTGTTTGCGTGCTTTGGCAAATCATTTTGTTAAACCTTTCTTGGAAACGGGTGTCCTTTGACACAAGTACTTTTTTGTAACAGATCCAAATATCCACTACTTGTTTTGTGAAAGTACTTTACTTTCTCTTTAGCACAAAGTCAATATCATTCCATTTTCTAAATTACATTAAGCATGGAAACTTAGATTGTAATCTTCTGAAAGTCTATTCTCATTCAAGATGCATGCTTCTGTGGTTTCAAAGTCTTTAATGTGAGCTGCTTGTAAATACATTAATATAATCTTAATTTATAGTAATTGAAGGAGCTCATGAATTTTTCAAGAGACTTATGGGAAGTTTTAAGGCTTCCCATATCTTTTTATTAATTTTCCATGCTGCAGAATAATACTGACATGCTTGGAATATATTATACTAATTTAGCAACTGTTTGCCTTTTGATGAGCTCTCAGATAATGCTACAGCTCTCAGACTGTTCTATCATATCTACAGTATATGACCCTTACCAAGTTTGCAATAATATTATGAACACATAAAATTGTGTACTCCTCCAAAAACTGAAATACAGGAAATGGATACAATTATTTTCTTTTAAAAAGTTACAAGAGTTTTGTAAAGTTTATTTTTCTGCACGTCACAAATGTAGTTTATCACAATTCCAAACATTTTGTCAGTCAGCTACTACATTAGTGTACCGTGAGGTAGCTGTAGCACAAAAGAGAGTTGTGGGCACACAACTGACAGTTTTGCTTTACAGTTAGTAAACAGACCACCACATAGTCTTCACGGTGTGTGTGAGTTTTCTCATGCACAACACATGACGATTGGAAAAGAAAGTAAAGTATTCATCACTACAACACTGTCCTCAAAGTTTCCTGAGTGATTTGTTTTCTGGGTGTACTGTATCAGCAGGGTTGTAGCGTTGATCATGTTCACTTCAGCAGCAGAGTGTTCTGTACGTCTTCGAGATTTGAAAACATCTCTTTTCCTTCCATCGGAAATTTAAATTCCTCTCACAACTGCTTACGCTCACACTTGACGGCCAAAGCTCAGTTGACATACAGAGCTCGCGAACGTGAAGCAGAACAGACATCTCCTTGATCTCTCACACTGAAGCTCTGGCGAGAAGGTAACATAAACATTGAAGATGGCTGCCTGACAGAAATGTATGGTGTTTGTTTACGAATGCCATCCCGTCTACTTAACAAATACCAACTACAGCTTAACTGTGTTTTTTCAGGTATATACACCTGACTCACATGTATCCAGATAATGTTGCATACACCAAACTTAGATGCTCCTTCTGCTTGGTATTTTTTTTCTTTTCTTCTAGGTGACAGGTTTCATGTTTTTTTTAATGCTGCTCAGATTTTGGATAACATACTTAGCCCATAGCCTCATGTCTCACCACACCCTTAGGCATGCGGTTATTGTAGCACAGCCGATGCCTCTTTGCTTGAACTATAATTCAGACAGAGAAAGACACTTAGCTGGAGTTGCAAAAACAAATGTGGAATTTGAAATGTAAGCACAAGGGAATTGGGTGAGAAAGTAAAATATCACAGGAGTGATACATGTGCTTCCAACAGCAGTTATGACACTAGCTTGAGTAACTGAGTTATAATCCAGCTATCAGTTTGGACCGGTTGATCTTTAATATCCTTACAGTTATACAGCACTTTTCTGGACACTCCACTCAAGGTGCTTTACAGGTAATGGGGTCTCCCCTCCACCACCACCAATGTGTAGCCCCACCTGGATGATGCGACGACAGCCATAGTGCTCCAGTACACTCGCCATACATCAACTCTCAGTGGGGAGGAGAGCAGAGTAATGAAGCCAGTTCATAGAGGGGGATTATTAGGTTATCATGACTGATAAAGGCCAGGGGAAATTTGTGCAGGACACTGAAGTACTCTTTTTGAGAAACACCCTGGGATTTTAAAGGACCAGGACCTTGGTTTTATGTCTCATTCAAGGACGGTGCTTTCCTTATGATTCTTTAATCATATTTGCATTGAATCCTTGAAAAATATAAAGTATTCCACCAGAGACAATATGCCAATAAACAGGGAATTATAAAATTCCTTAAAATATGATGACATTAAAAAAAAAACTAAATACTAATAATTTCTGTACTAAAAACTGAAAAAAACACATCATGGGATTGTCAAGCAGTTCACCTGTAAATGGAAAGTACAGGACAAGGTAAACTATGGAGGATCTACTGAAAAGGAATGCTGTTTCTTAGGATCCAAATGAACCATTCTAACAAATGAACACAGGCTGTGATGGCACTAGTAGAGAAAAGCTTTGGCTGCTCTGATTCAAAAGCCGGTCAGTGATTGTTGGTGATGTGCATAGCATATTTTGTTCCATGGAAGTTGAGGAAATGCAGTGGCTCCTGGGAACATTTTGGAATTAGCTACATTTCCCCCACATATTCATCCAGAAATGTGCTGCAGTATCGTAAAACTCTTCCCCTGTTATTTCTGCAAGAGCCATTTCCGTTTCTCCTTTCATAAAAGTGAGGTACTGTCAATGGCAACCAAGAAGAGCACAGGGATGAGAAGCAATTTTTGCTTCAGTTGAAGTCATGTAAGGAATGTATTTGGCACTGATCTGAACAGGAGGTGCAATAATGTGTTCATCCCATGCTTTCCTTTTTGTTTTTAAAATTAAAGACTGTTAAACGCTGACATCACGAGGCCCTGGAGATCTAACTTGTAGTCACCATGGAAACAAAGATCAAATCACCTAAACAGGATGAGAATGATGTCCCTGAGGATAAAAATCTTCACATTGTCACAGCTGAAAGCATTCTGTCCAGCTTTCCATAACAGCTTTTCTCAAAGTGAAACTAATTTGTGATTATCCATGATGTGTTGAAACATTTAAGCCAATTTTTGATTTATTATAGATACCTACAGTGCACAGCGTAGAGCCACCTTGAGCCCTTAGAACCCTGCTCAGTGTTCCACTGTCCTCATGAAACATGTTCCTGCAAAATTGCCAACAGATCTTACTGTTTTAGTCTCTTGGGAACTAGTTCAGTATTTCTTGGGTCCGACGAGAACCTTCATTTCTTCTTCCTGTGTGTTTGTGCAATGATATTTCTAGCCATTTTACTGTTTTAATCATATCAGCTACTTGGTTGCCCTGTGACATTTGTACATTCAGGATATTGATTTTGCAACTATTTGGCTAAAGACATCATTCTTAACGCATAAAGGTATTTATACCTTTGAAATCAGATTTATTCTGCAACTTGAAAAGGCTCCAAGGCTGTAAAATTGTCTTCCAGTGTGAACTTAAGAGAGCTTTAAGTTATTGCTTGTCATGGTGGACAGTTTTCTCAGTTACACTTAGTACTTTATTAAACTTATGTAGCCATATTGCAAAAAAACTTGTAGTTCTTTATTAATTACTTTTTAAGTTGTCCAAAAAGACTCGGAGAATCAAATACTTTCTAGTAATCATCCAATTCTATGCATGATGTGGCATCTCACGCACATTTGGAATTTCTTGTCCTTGCTGTTGGCCCATGGTGTTGAATACTTTTCTGAATCCTACTGTATCATTTGACTGGATTTCAATTGCATTTTGTAGTCTGTGTATAAGTAGCTTAATGAAAATACAGCAGGCAGTAAGCTAATGGGTCTGTAATTTATGGAGTTTTAAATGAAAGTTCGGGAGGAATGAAGGCAGCCGAGCTCATTCGACACAGCTGCTGCGATTCTCACTAATCCTGACGTAAGCAACCGGTCTCCATATATATCAAACATCACCCTCTCTTCTTCCTCGTTTGTTTTCTGCATCCCTCCTCCACCCCCTCTCCACCTTTGCAGCTGCCCAATTGGTCGCATGGGGGTCCTATCCTCCCCGTCCAACGTCCGGGATGTTGGCCCTCAGCCAAGAGGGTTACGCCAAA